CTATGTACAAAATCTACCCGCTTGTTAAACTCTATCTACAAAAATCTATCTACAAAATACTATAAATTCATCCCTCCAGTTTACTTATAAAATAAAGTCTCTCAATTTACTATGAATCCACGTTTTCCCTTCAATTATGGAATTCAATCATGGAATTAATCCTGAGTATAGCTCTCAACCACCACCACAAAGAGTCTCAAACATTTCCTCAACAATTTTCATACAATTCTTACAACTTTAATATACAATTACAAACCATTTTCACAATTTCCCTATAATCCTTTCGTCTATGTGGGGCCATCTCAAATACCAAATCAAGAGCAATCACAAAGTACAAGCAAATCAGGTTAAAAGACCAAGGCTCTGGGGCGAAATACGAACTGGAATATGGAAGAAGATGACGCACTGTGCAAGGCATGGGGTTACGTCTTTCAGAAAATGTGTTGGGAAAATTGGTTAAAAATTGAGTCATGAACAATTTTTTATCAATGTTATTATACGGTCTAATTGATTATATAAATCAATTTTTGGATTAGATTAATATAAAACCAATTTTGTGGTGAATGAAAAATTACTAGTCCAAAATATAAGGAAAGTGAGATTTTGAGTTATCCCACATTGGAAAAGTAGATAAGTACTGAGCTGTATATATATCAAAATGTTGGGACAAAGGGTCACGCCCATTGGGCATTCAACTTTGTTTGGGAGAAAGGCCTATATGTTATGTGTTTCTAATCGTGCCCACACGCACGCGCCGCCGTCCGTCCGTCCGACCGGCCGGCGCGCTCGTTCGTACGGATCGGATCGGATCGGATTTGGATTTGGATTTGGGCTTGGGCCCAAATCACGACATTATTTTTTTGGGCCAAAAACATTAGGTCATGATGGGCCTTCAACCTATTGGGCCCTTATTACTCGAATGGTCTGACTAGTTTGAATTGGTGCCGCCGAACCAATGCAAACCATTCGGCTCAACTCAAAATTGTGCAACCACTCCCAATCGGCTCAACTCGAAATGGTGCAACCATTCAGCCAAAATGTACCTTTTGCTCCAAAGGACACTACTTTTCAAACCTTATAAATAGACCCTATCTTTGCTACACAAAGTACAGTTCGTCGTACTTGGGATTCGGAGTGCTCCTATTCCAAGCATTGCCGTTGTATCTTGGGAGACGATTTCCATTCAAACCGTTAGCACAGTTGCGGGAAAATTTCGTCTTAAGGACAGAGTTAACTCGCCTCGGCAAATTTTCGTTCATAGCAGATTTATTCCAACAAAATGCAATAGTTGGTAGTGACCAACAAAGAGGTAAGTTGTGGGAGAGAATTAGAGTGGAATTTATATCTATTTTAGAATATGATCCATGTAGAAATGCGTTAGGGCTAGCGCACCAATGGAAAATCATTCAATATTGTGTGAGCAAATTTTCTGGGTATGTTCGTACGGTTGAGCGAGCTCAACGTAGTGGAAACAATGCAGAAGATAATGTAAGTAAATAAAATTCATATATATAGATGATTGCAACAAAACAACTATAGAATGACAAAGAAGAGTATCAATACAAATATGACTCTTGTTGGATGATTTTGAAAGACACTTCCAAACGGTATAATTATACAATTGAGCAGAAGGGAAAACAGAAAAAAACTTCGCAAAAAAAATGGTTGAAATTGATTTGGATGATGATGAAATTAAAGATTTATTAAATACCCAACCTCCATCATCTGATCAATCAGCCCCAACTACGGCTCCAACTTCAGCTGGCCATGAAATTGACGATGGAGTATATAATGATGGCGCACAGGGACTACCACGTCATCATGGTCGCAATACAGCAAAAAATGCTAGAAGAAAGAAAAATCTCGATTGCATCGATTTATTTGTAGAAGAGTTTTCTAATATGAGAAAAGAACAATCAAGTCGCTTTGAAGAGGAGGGTATTAGGAGAAATTCACTAATGTTATTAAAATTGACAGTGTGAAAAATTTGAATGAAAAATAAAATAATTTCTTTATTAAAAAAATAGATTATAACTCATTTCAATTAATTTAAATCGATTAACTTCAATTGTTGACAAGAACTTATTAAAATTATTGATTATTTTATCATAAGATAATTATTTAAAAATATAGATGATGTTTATTTTAACCAAAATAGATTATATTTTATTCCAATTAATTTTCTTACTTTAAAAATAAAACTATATATGACGAGTATAATCAAAATACTATGATGTGATTTCTCTTTTAATAATTGGTTTAATTTGTAAAAATCGTAAGAATTAAATCATAGATCATATTATTTAATGATTTTTTTTACATTTACATTTTATTCAAATATTAGAATCGAATCGCAAGATTTAAATGGATTAAGCTCAAGTCCTTTCAGTTTATTTTATTTTTTTAATATTAGTAATCAATTTAATTTATTATAATCATTTTACACTTTTTTGTTTATGTTATATACATTCCTTGTTATAATAATCCTAACTATAAATATATAAATATAAATAACACTATAAACTGATTATAATAATTGTATAACTAATGTTTAATAAATTATTAATTGTCATGTTCTCTATTATTAATATTAAAAATCTCCACTAATAACAAATGCATATATATTTAATTTTGAAAAATATAGAAAAAATACAATTTAATTTAAAAGAAAGATTGAATTTTGATTTTTTTTGAATTTTGAAATTTTGAAAAATTTCTCAATTATTATTTTACTTATAAATACCTCTAATTCAATCTTCACAACATTCATTTTATTTAGTTTATGTCTCAATGTCTTATTCTTTTCATTTTTTCTCAAATTATTTAGTGTTTAATTTTTTTATTTTTTATTTATTTTGAATTTAAAGTTAATCTTAAGTTTTAATTTAAGCTTTTTTTTTCTTGTAATTATTTGAAAAAAAAAAAATTGGAAAACCGGTTTGGACCTGGATCCGACCCAGAACCGGCCCGGACCCGGATGGACCCGGACTTGCCTCCCCACGGGTCGGTTTTGGGTCCCCTAAAAGTCGAACCCGGACCCGACCACCCCGTGGCCGTGTCTAGTCATATAGCCTTGTTTTCCTTTTTTTTTTTTTTAATGAATTTAATTCATAATCTCTTGTAGACACGGCTATAGGCTGGTTTTCGGCCCGGAACCGGTGAATCGGTGCCGGAACCGTGAACCGGCCCGTGTCCCTCGGGACGGGCCCGGTTCTAGAAATAGATGTACCGTGAACCGCAGGGCCGGCCCGGCGGTTCACCCGAATTTGAAAAAAGAAATTAAAAAAAAAGCTGAAAAAAGCTGAACCGGCCTGGTGAACCGCCCGTTATGTGCTCTTTTTTGAATTTTTCCCCCAATTTTTCCTATAAATACGCTCACACCCCTTTTTTTTCCTATAAAATTAAGTTCAAGTCCTTTTATTTATTTTCTTTTGTTTTTTCCTATTTAAAAGTAATTCTTTTAATTTATTTATCCATCAAGTATTTAAAAAAAATATATATATTTATATAAATATAAATTTCCAAGCCGGCCCGGAACCGGATCGAACCGGCGGGCCGACCCAGCCCGCCGAACCGTGTGTAGTACGGGCCGGTTCCGATTCCGGAAAAAGTGAACCGCGAACCGGAGTGAACCGGCCCGAACCGGCCCATGGCCGTGTCTAATCTCATGTCAGATCAATATAATCTTGGTGAAGAGGTCATGGAGATTAGAAGGGGTGGGGCATCAGGATTGTGGTCGGACTGAAAAAGAGAGGGGAATACTCTATAAAAAACATTATTGTGTTTTGGCTTTTGTTTAGTAATTAGGAATTGGTTTGCGGAGAAATCAACTTGTGATTTCTTTGTTAAGATAATTTGGAGGCATTGAATTCTTTCAGACTTCTTTTATCTCCAGTACGTATATTCATTTTCGTATAATTTCTCAAGTTCCCCTCGGAGAGAATGAGCCTCAACGGCCTTTCCTCCCCTAGTCTCGTACGCCCTCTTGCAGAATGCGGAGACGATCTTTAATAAAAGCAATTTGATCCTTAAGTTTTTGAAGAGTAGTGTTACTCCATTTTTTATTAATTCAAGACAACAGCTCTCCACTTTCAAAATAAACTCAACAGAAGGATCTGTTTCACCAATGTCAGACCACTACTTTGGGACAATAGATTCACATTCCTCTCTACGAATCCAAAATGCCTCAAAACAAAACGGTCGATGCACTCGATAACCGTTCGTAGCTGTTATTCGTTGAAACTTCAGTAATTGTGCATTATGGCCCAAACCAATACTCTCTAAATGATGAACACAGACATTTGGGAACAACGAGATCCATGAACTTGTGGCACAACATCGGTCTAATTGACTTTCTGGTTGTTAGACCATGTGAATGGACCTCCACAGAAACCGATATCAGACAAATTACATTTATCGAGCACCTCCTTAAATGCTTCTACCCGACTGGAACGAGTATTTCCCCCAGTTTTGTCTGAGTTGCTTAAAATTACGTTGAAATCTCCACCTACAAGCTAAGCCATGGCAACGAGCACTGAGGCTGAAAAATTGCGCAATACAGCCCACGATTGATCCCTACGAGTTTGGTTCGCTACACCGTAGAACCCAGTAAAACGCCACTTTGTTCCCGAATTATTCTCGCAAACAGTAGCATCAATATTGTTTGACGAGCAAATAAGAAGATCGACAGTAGTATTCTTAGTCCAGAGAAGAGCAATTAAGTTAATTAAATAATTCATGTCGTTCCAATCCCGTTCTGGTTTAACACTTATTACACTTATTACACTTTACTAATTCGTGTTTTTCTACACAAATTAAATGCATTTTATGAAACTGATATTCCGACTGGGAGTTTGTTCGCAAAATATAGACTCATCTTTGTATTCGTTATTACGTGCGGGAACAATTCTTTTTCTTTTTTTTAAAGGAGAATGGAATTACGAAAAGTAAGTTATGAAGATCATACACAACACATTAATCAATCAGCACAACCATTATGTCGAGTTTAAAAAATTAAGTAAACGATAAATCAGACGGAGACAAAATTTCTCTATAGATCGATTAACATAAAAATTTACCAGGAAAACAGTGTAGTGTGAATCACCGCATCATCAAGCATCCTACAAAACATTGTCGACTAACTAATTGCAAAATACTTAAATGACATACAATTGAAAGGGTAAAAGCAAAAGGATGAACTTGAGATAATTGTCGACTGAACGATCAACCAGCGTAGCATCACTCAGACGACTCAGGGGCTTCTTCAACCTCAGTTCCTGATCACAATGTAAGAGATATAAATAAGAATCAACGATATATATATATATATATATATATATATATATATATATATATATATATTCGAGCCAATTCCTACGAAACCACCAGTGCCGATCTACCATCTGTTACTACTAGTTTGTGAACTGCCGTTTTTATAATCATTCCACTTTAAACTATTTGCATAATTTCCATTGACAACTCATCTCTGATAATACAAATTGGTAACAATCGATTTATCCTTCGTAACATCGAAACACGAAAATCTAGATTCCTAACCAGAAACCCCCCAAGTTCAGTTCTAACGACATATACACCAATCAGAGACATGCAGTAAAAATATAAGCTGCTCTATCTTACATTACTGGCATTTCAAGTCTTTGATAAAATAAAGATATATATATATATATTAAGTGTGTTGAATATCAATTATAAAGCCGATACTTTGTCTAGTGAAAAACGACGATTAATACATTAACATGACGATCAGTGCCTCCTTCAATTTATACTTTCGTCTCAATCCGGGAAGCACTAAATCTTACTTTCAGCTGTCAATTTATTTTATATTTTCCCAATCTTTTCCCACTTCATAAGTTTTCTGAACTTTCAGATATCAATTTGCTCAACACGATCGTCACAAATAAAGTGAATATAGTTATAAGTACGGTCACACCCGCATTCGGCTTTTCAACCTACATTGTTAGACAATCTATTCAAAACCAAAAGCCCTGCTTTTTTCAAGAACTACATCCCTCGATTTCTAATCCAGCAGCACAAGATACAAATTCGATCACAAGTATTATGAACTTAAAGATATAAATTCAAATTCTTCGTCATAAAATAAAAAAAGCCCAAAGGAGTTAGTTACCTTCTTCTTCTTCTTCTTCGAAATCACCCTCTTCCTCGTAAATTTCATCGTCCTCCAACCCGTACCTATCGTTCAAGAACTCCAAAGCTCCTTTCGTGAGGACCAAATTCTCGGCATCCAAAATATCGAACAGATTCAAAGTCCTCGGCGTCAGCATTTTCAACGTGCCGAGATTCCTGGCCGACAGTCTAACGTTGTCCGAGACTTGAGTCATCAAGAAAGTGGCCTTCTTCTTCGGGTCGAGGCCCAATCTATTCAGCATTGCAATGAATTCCTTCGTCTTCGGCTTCTCGAACTTGTCATCGAAATCCTCGACCACGAAGGTGTTCTCCGCCGCGCTGGAGATGGCGGTGGAGAGGGCGAGTCTCTTCTCCTTCTTGTTCATCTTGACAGACCAGTCTTTGGGCTTCGGCCCGAAGATGACACCGCCGCCGGGCCGGAGGGGGGTCCTCTGGGAACCACGGCGGGCGCCGCCGGTTTTTTTCTGTGGGTAGGGCTTCCTCCCTCCACCGCGGACCTCCGCGCGGGTGAGGGTGGAGGCGGTACCGCGGCGGCGGTTGGTGAGGTCGGTGGTGATGCCGCGGTGGACGACGGAGCGGGCGGTGTCGGAGGTGGGCGGACTTGAGGTTGAGAGTGGCGGAGCCGACCTCGGTTCCTTCGAAGGAGAGGACTGGGAGAGTGGTGAGCTCGGAGTGGATGGTGGTGGTGGAGGCTCGGAGTCTAGGGTTGGGATGGGGTTTGAGGAAACGGAGGTTTGAGGAAGAAGGGTTTTGATTGGATAGGAAAATTGTGGAGGAAAAGAAGGAGATTGATGAAGGTGATGCAGCTGCCATTGTTGCCTTGTTGGTGGTGTGGGCTGTGGAGAGTGGAGAAATGTTATCCGATTATCCTTTCTGCCTCTTCGCCCCAATTTCTTTGGTCCGGTTTTATATCTAATTTTGCTGACGTTGTGTTACTTAACAAGTTCAAAATTGAAATTTGACGTTATATCTCCAACAGTTTGTCTAACAACGATTGTCTATATCTATAATATAACCGATGAACTGTGTTTTAGCACTCCACTTTTAGCATTGCACTCCAACAACATTGTTTATATTTTACACGATTATAATAGTTAATTATTTTTATTAAATAATTTCTATATGATATTCAATTATTATTAAATATTAATAAAAATGTGTATTATTCTAAACAATATATTTATATGTTGAATATTTAATAATTTTTGTTTTACAAAATTATTTGACTTTTATTTTAGTTAATATACTAATAACTAATAATACTAATTAATAAGTATACAAAAATAATTTTAAATTTGATAAAAGAAATTTCAATAACTTAATTGATATATATAAATAAACATTAAAAATTTATTATTCATTATGAAATATTTTTTACGTTAATTAAAATGATAAACATTTTTTTTTAAATTATTTATTATTAATACTAAGTAAAATTGGGAGTGGTAAACGAGCCGAGCCGGCTCGCGAACTCGACGAGCCGGCTCGGCAAAGGCTCGAACTCGAGCTCGGGTTTTTCGAGCTCGAGCCCAGTTTTAGTTGTTCGCCGGCTCGCGAGCTTCTTATTAATTTTTTTTTAATTATATATATATATATATATATATATATATATATATATATATATATATATATATATTTGAAAATATCTAAATATTAAATAGTCTATAATACATATTACTAACATTTAAATAGGAAAAATACAGATTACTTACAATCTAATACTTCAATTAATAAACTAAATTAATAAAGTAAAAGTAATTAGAAGTGTGCAGGTCTTAGTCTTTACACTTTACTCCTTAGTCCTTCATTATTCATTAGACGGTAAAAAAAGTGAAACTAGGGCAGCCGTCAGTGAGAGAAACAAGAAAAAAATATGTTCATCTTTTTCAAAGGCCACAAAATAATTTCATAGTTTTGAAACTTTATTCTTCCATCAATCGTTGTAAGGTGCGAATTTATGGAGTAGTAAGTCTTTTAATTTTTGCAGTAGTATTTTTCTTTTTTGTGCATTTCTTTCTTTTTGATCGAGCAATATTTTTATTTTGTGGCTTGATTTCAAATTTTTTGGAGTCATTTTAGTGAGAAAATAACATATAATTTAATTGTTGTTTGTTTCGATTTATTTTTCAATTTTATAATAAATAATAATTTTCTTACCTATTTGTTATTTTCTGGTTTTTGCAGTAATGAGTTTTCACACATATGACGATTTGTAAGTTTGTTATAATATATACATTTTTTTAATTATATATATAATAAAAAAAAAACCAACTTAGCTCGAGCTCGAGCTCGAGCTCACTGAAGCTCATGCGAGCTCGAGCTCGAGCTCAGATACAAATGGTCGAGCTCGAGCTCGAGCCTCCCAAAACTGGCGAGCTCGGCTCGTTCACACCCCTAAATAAAATAATAAATTTCATCTTTAGTACATTTATTTGCAAAAAAATAAGACAATATAAAATACTTTTTAATGATAAATATATTATAAAGAACAATATAACATTATTTTAATATTTTTTGCATTAGCTAAATTGTAATTTTGGTTTCTCAAATTTGAGAAGTCAAAGTTACAATTTAGCCAATATGTTAATTATGCATTTTACTCTTGGAGCTCACTATTTTGATCTTGGTTGTTTATACTGTGTATAAAAATTAGATATGTAAAAGTAAAGTTGAAATAATTGTTACTTTAAAATGTGGTAAATTTACTTATATAAATATGGGTTTTTTTGCAAAAATCACCCCTTTGAAATCTCAAATGGATAAAAAAGTCCCTATGTTAAAAATATTAGTAAAAACCCCCTATGAAAATTAGTCAAAGCCAGAAAAGGCCCATGCGGGCTGATTGTGTGTTACACGCGCGGATTCTGCTGACTCTTTGTTATATTTTTGTCATGAAAAGTCCCAAATGCTCTCTAAAATTATTTTATAACTAAACATAAATTCATTTGGATTTAAAAATAAATAATCCAACTTTTAGGATGAAATTGCAATTTAAAAAAATTCTTTACACATCTTACCAACACCATTTCATCGTCACCATCAAACCATCCTTCCAATACTGCCACCCATTCTCCCCACCACGTACTTTAATGCCGCCGCCACATCGACTACTACCGGTGCACCAGAATTTCATCGGAATCTTCATCAAAAGCAAATTTAAGTCTAAAAGCCCTACTTTAGGGTTTGAGATTGTGGGCTTTCTTCAACAGAGAAAGAAGAGGGCCAATATTCGATTTTCAACAGGACCGCCATAGATGTATGTCCTAACCTTCGAGACAGAGAAAGAAGGGGCCAAATTCCATATCCAATTTTTTTTATTCCGGATTTTGGGATTTTGGAACAAAGAAGATTCACCCATATACACAGAGGCGAAGAAAAAAACAAAAGAAAAATAAAATTCCCGATGGAGAAGATGACCGACCGGAAACAAGAATCCAACCCAGAAAATGGACCAACGGTGGATACGTTTTTGGGATTTGGACATTTCAATTTATTATTTGTTTTTAATTAGGGGTAGTTTAGTGATTTTACATGGGTCAACAACTAATTTTAAAATAAGGGGCAGTATGTTTTTTTTCAAAAATAACATAAGGGGTTTCTTGCTAATATTTTTAACACAAGGGTCTTTTTAACTATTCGAGATTACACAGGGGGTTATGTGCAATTATCTCATATAAATATCTAGCATCCACTACCCTACAAAGGGTGTTAATGTAGGAAATTAAATATAGAAGAGTTAGGGGGGTTTTTTCGTAAATATACCTTACCTTAATGGGGCGGATGTAATCTACCAAATTTTCTTGATTATTAAAATTCCATCTGATTATTGGTTAACTCTAGACGACTTTCTCTCACTGTGATAGGTGGATTCTCCCTTATTTCTTCGTCTTAATTTATAATTTTTACCTACTATATTCTCTTTCAGAACCGATTGTGTGTTTTATTTTCATTAATACGTTTGATTTTGGTTGTTCTGTTTCACCGGCTGTGATTAGGGTTCATTTGTTATCACGTGACTGACGAATCTCTCAGTCATCTTATATATCTCTACTACTCGACTATATATCATGTAATATGTAAAATAATTTTTGCCTTACCATGGAAGAAGAAGAAGGCGTGGTGCTCTTATCAGGAAGTAGTGAGAGAGCGAACACTCGGGGCCGCATCTCAGTGTGGTGGGTAGGGTTGTATCCGCGCGAGATTCTTCGGCTCACACAATTAAGTTGAGTCACCTAAGCCTGATTCAACTGGTGAGCGGTGCACTTTCCAATCGATCGGTTTTAACAAATTCTTAGTTTAGTTTGGGAGTCCTTGGCTTAATGACAAGATTGCGCAGTGATACTTCACGAATGAGTTCCAGGAATTGATTCGAAGGTGGTTGTTTTGAACTCAATGCTGATTGCGGTTAGGTTGCATCAGATACATGTTCGTCAACGGAGGTTGGACACGGCTATACAAGATGGAAATAAGATACGCCATGTTCTTGAGGTGCTTACCCTAAAACAAGGAGAGCATCATGATTTTATAAGAGTGAAAGTGCGAGTGGATGTTTCCAAAAATCTTAAAATAGGCATTTTTCTTCATAACCCGAACGACACGAAGGTTTGGATATCTTTTACCTACTAACGATTGCCAAACGTCTGCTCTCTTTCTCGGATAATTGGTCACTGGTGGTAGATGAGGGGTGTGAGTTTAGATACGGCGAGGGGTTTGTGGATCCGAGAGACCAGTTTCAATATGGTAGTTGGATGAGGGTTTTTGTTAACAAGGAGGAAATCAACTCTTGTCTACCTTTGCAGGTTGTACGTGCAATTGGAGTTCAAAATCATGGTGGCTCTACACAAAACTCCCCACGAGGCATGGATATTTTTTAGTTCTCTTCACAGTGAGGGTCTGGATGACAAATTCGAACAAATCTGGCGGATTAGAGAATATGCTAGGGTAAGTATTGGATGAGCAAACTTAGTGAATACTCTGGTCCATGTTCAACTTGGGACCAATACACTTAATACTACTAGGTAAAAATAATTAAACTCTTGAACAAGAACTGGAAAAGAAGGCTGGCAAAAGTGGGATTTTATGTACGAACAAAATTTTCAAGAAACCGCAGTTGGGGCTTTGTGATAAGGAACTATCTCAATCGACGATGACTGCAGAACAGTCCCGCTGAGATGATTGAATTGCTTGTCCCTTGAAAATTCACGGACTTGGATATATGCTTCGAACACACAACCGCAGCTTAGTGTTTGTTCGAAAATGAGAGCAACACAAAGTTTGATTGACTCGTAGAAAATGCGATAGAATTACTATGGTTTTGATGTGGGTGATACGCGTAAAACCTACGTATGAAAAACCGCAAGTGTACAGTATCGCGTTTTGTAGAATAGTGAATTCCAGATATCGATCCACAGGGAATTAAGTTCCTAAATTTACCAAGTACCGTAATTATACTATACTAAACTTTATCTAGACGGATGAAAGAATGGGGATGAAATGAAGCTAAAAGGAAACAAAAATAAAAACAACGGTCCGCCAGTATAAGCGAGGAATTCCGACGTGTGATGGCTTCTAGGGTAAATTCCACCAGTATACTATCGATAAAGATTTACAAATCCGAATCTAATGTCAATTCTATATTCGCTAATCCAGACACTAAAGTACCCTAACCCCCGTCTCCAGTGTAGTTAGAGTCTACCCACAGGTCCGACGTCTCCGTTCAGAACCTGATATTAAGAGAGCATTTAGGTCAAGTCCTTAAGGGCTACCCGAGGTGCATCACGTCTCCGTTTCCACAACCCGAGCTATGTTTTCCTAAAATCAAACGAGAAATCCTCTCTCGAGTTCATTCCCATTTACAATC